ACAGACGATCGGGAGAGATTCGGGTGATTGTCAATTGCTGCTATGATGGCTTTGGTTGGTTGTTCTTTTTCACTGTACGGCCGCAGACACATTCTGACAGCACTTCAGACAGCAGCTTTGTGCCCCGCCAGCTGCTTGTTCCATGCCTACCATGGTGTTTTTGTACAGACAGCACTTCAGACAGCATTATGCTGTAGTCGGCAATCTTCCGTTTTGGTATAGAGTGGGACAGGGAGGGGGTGATGCTACTGTAGTCGAACGGTGGGACGGACGTGCAGTTCAGTTTTTGGGCACGCATACGGTGCTGCAGGGATTTTTAGGTGTACCTCTTCGGGCTCTTGGATACCTTTTTCTCGTTATATGTGTGCGTGTTCTTTAGATCCTCAGATGGCTCTAGCACTTTCGTGACCACGGGCTGAGAGTCTTTTGCTAGATTTTGGCATTTGGCAACTAACTGACATACGGTTTAATGTGAAGACAACACTAACAACAACAACAACCGAAAAGGACCACTACAGAACAAAAAAAAAACAACCAGGGATGCGGTACCCGTCACTCCCTGTAACACCTTCCAGACGAACGTAACTAGTATCATCCCACGTAACTTTTGCTGTTACTTGGAGGTTTGGAAGCTATTTGGGGCAATGGGGCGACCCCCGACAGATTTAATACACTAGAAAAGTATCTAGAACATCGTTTATCGCTGCTGCAGGTGGGAGCAGTTTGAAACTTGAAGAACACAAACATGTCTACCGTACGCAGTATACACGTATACAAGTGTACGCGTATACACAAGAAAGACTCATGTCAACCCCTGAATCCTTATCTCCACCTGCTGTAATCGCGTTTGTGGCCTACTTGTACGGTGGGTTACACCCCATACGGTGTCTAACACCCAATACGGTGTTCAACACCCCCGGGACGACGAGATTTTGTCCCCGGTATGCTGCCGTAAAATACGCGTACGTAACACATTTTGTTGATTTCCCGTAAAGATAGCGCCCGCACTTAAGAACTAAGCAGTTTTGAAATTGAGACTCGCAAAAAATAAGAAGCTAAGAACTTGCGCACCATTTGTGAGCTCGGTTAAGAACCCCACACGAAAACCTATAAGCGGCCATTTGTAACCCACAGGAGGATGATCAGCAAAATAAGAACCCCAGCCTCGGCCGAAACTAGAGGTTCGTAAGTGCGGGCGCCATTTGAAATTACGGTAATCACGGGTACGTACCGGTCGGGAAACGCCGTAGCCCGCATCCCTGAAAAATACCAAGTATCCACACAGCGAATAAAAAAACATTGACAAACTTTCGGAAAAAAAGAAAATATTTACGGAAAAAAGCAAGCTGAATCTGAACTCACGATCCTCGACACAATTGCACATCGACGTTACTTTCCACGCAATCCAGCTACTACGGGAATACCTCTTCGCAGCGCCATTGTGCCAGGCCTTTTGTCGCGGTACATTAGCATGGCGGTGCTTTTTTGACGGTACTGCATGACTTTTCGGTGGTAC